ATTGCAGAAACTGCCGTGTGAACGCAAGTGGGGCTGCACCAGGGTTAACACGCTTCTCTTTAGTAAGCAGCTTTATACGTGTGAACACTCCACAAAATTTACACCGGTGTAGGATATATCGCAACAAAATACATCGGTGCAGCACCGATGCAAATGTGTGCTGTGTGAGCACCCCTAAAGACTCAGGATGGGAAAAGGGATTGTTACAATGTTGCGGGAGAGCGCAAACAACCGGGAGAAAAAGAACCGGCTGTCACACAGAAAAAAATCCGACCCTGGGCAAGTTAAAGTTCTAATTAACTACATTTTACTTGCCATTCAAACGAATGCACCAAATATTGGATTGATGTTGATTTGATTCCTATTCAATGTTTTAATATTGCATTAATTTTCAATGTTTAAAAAACGATTATAGTAACAATAGAAGACTTCATTGTTAAAATAAGCTTTTTTCACATTTTCAGGTAGTGGTGTGCCGCGGGATTTTTTCGATGAAAGAAATGTGCCTTGGCTCGAAAAAGATTGAAAAACACCGGTATAATGGACCATCAGGATTTCACTTCATCATGTCCAGCAGATGTCGCCTATTTTCCGTCTAAGAGAACTGCAGAAACTGCCTGCGTATCCACTTGAATCAGTTGGCGTTGTGTTTATCTGGGATTCCATCTCGGTGACTTTACGGAAGACACAGGGTTTGACCTCGAACTGGTTTCTAGCCATTTGCAGGACACATATGACTAAAAAACAATTCAGATACAGAAGACTTTTATTCATATGCTGTATCAGCCTTCCTCAACTGGCAGACCGCGATCCACGACCGGACCGCCGACCTCCTCTGTCCGGACCTCCTCTGTCCGGACCTCCTCTGTCTGGACCCTCGGCAAATTGTATAAAATAATAATTTATTAAGTGATTTTTACATTATACATTTTATATTTGTGGACTATAATCTGCGCATTACCTCGATCGCTTGTGAAAATTATCCGTTGTATTCTTTGCGTGCACTAACATTTGTATTGCAGAGGACCGCAGCAGCGCGACTGTGTGTTGTATAA